AACTGGAGCACAGATCCAATTCCCTAAATCAAGAGCCCCTCACCAACATCAAGGAACCTTCCTTGAGGGGGTGAGTGGCCATAGATTTTCATCTGATTAGATTTAGCGTTTATTAACGAACGGACTTTGAGTTATATTGGGAAAGTTAATTGTCCTCTTAATGATAGTCTAGAATGAGACGTAGAGTTAAGGAGAGTTATATGTGTGTGGAACTTTACTATGTGTCCACCAGTGACATACATTCTAGACGTTTCTAGGAAGAATTCCTGACATTTTCTTAATCAAAGTTATGTGAATCTAGAGATTAGTAAATTCAGTTTTACACAACTTTTGCGTATTTTGTATATTTAATTAATATTTTCTTGTACATCTTATCACAGTGGCTGAAAACGAGCTGGTCTGGTCTGGAAGTCGTTTCGGGGGTCAACACCCCCACGACCCTGTCTTGCCTCCCGGCCTGATCAACCAGGCTGTTAATGCTTGCTACACGCAATCCAACGTGTGAACTACACTCCTGCTGATCGGGCACTATGAGTATCTGTCCAATTCCCTCTTGTCTTAAGATATCCAGGTATATATTAGTAATTCCATTATGTATGATAGGAGGCTGTTGAACAGTCTTGGTCCCACGACACTTGAGTTTTCGCATAGTATACTCGTGGTGCCCCAGCTTTTCAATGGGGGGTTTGTTGCACCATCTGCTTAGTGTTTTGCTTTCATAGGGAGCAATTTCTGTGTGTAGATTTGGGATCAGTCTTCTCTAGGACTTTCCAGGTGAAGATTATGATGTATTTTGCCTGTGTTTCAGTGAGCAAAAGTTCTCTCTGCATTATCTACACCTGCTGTTTCACCTGCCTTGAATGATGCTGTTAGTGTTCAACAGTATTCCAGCCTAGAGAGAACAAGTGATTTAAAGAGGATCATCACTGGTATGGCATCCCTTGTTTTGTAAGTTCTCGTTATCCATCCTAACATTTTCCTCGCAGATGTGATAGTGACACTGTTGTGTTCCTTGAAGGTGAGATCCTCTTATATTAAAATGGTTATCGGACGATAAATAAAAAATAAAAAATAATCAAGGGGTACTTTTATCTTAAATCTCTAAGTGTATATAAACCACGTTTTCCAGTGGGTCATGGAAAAATATATAATGTTCAATGAGGACAAATTTCAGTTACTCCGTTATGGAAAACTTTAGTAAGTAATAATAGCTAGAATGGGATATACTACAAACTCAAACCTCACAAAAAAAGCAAAAACCTGCTGTGAAGGACTTGGAAGTGTTAATTAAGGTGCCTTCAATCAATGACAGTCTCATGCAGATTCTAGGATCGTCTGCAAAAGAAGACACAGACACGGTGGTATGATTGACATCTGTGTCTATGTCTGACATGAGGTTGAGGAAGAGGAAGGGGGCGAATACTGTACCTTGTGGCACAGAGCTTTTCACTGTGGCAGCCTCTGACTTAACTCTGTTTACTGTTACCCGTTGTGTTCTGTTGGTAAAAAATAAAGATTTATCTCTCCACGTTTCCCGTTTATCCTTTATCACGCATTTTGTGTGCTATTACACCATGATCGTACTTGTTGATGGCTTTTGTAAATTCTGTGTATACCTGGAATATACCTGGAGAGGGTTTCAGGGGTCAACGCCCCCGTGGTCCGGCCTGTAACTAGGTCTCTCGGCGGATCAAGGCCCGATCAACCAGGTTGTTACTACTGGCCACACGTAGACTGATGTACGAACCACAGCCTGGCTGGTCAGGCACTGACTTTAGGTGCCTATCCAGCGCCTTCTTGAAGACAGCCAGAGGTCTATTGGTAATCCTTCTTATGTATCCTGGGCCCTTGACACGTATTGCGTTATCTCTTAGCGTGCTCGTGGCACCCCTGCTTTTCGTTGGGGGATGTTGTACCGCCTACCGAGTCTTTTGCTTTCGTAGGGAGTGATCTTCGTGTGCAAATTTGGCACTAATCCCTCTAGAATTTTCCAGGTGTATATTATCCTGTATCTTTCTCACCTGCATTCCAGGGAATACAAGTCAAGGAACTACAACCGTTCCCAGTAATTTAAGGTGTTTTATCGTACTTATGTGTGCCGTGAAGGCTCTCTGTACACTCTCCAGGTCAGCAGTTTCACCTGCCTTGAAAGGGGCCGTTAGTGTACAGTAATATTCCAGCTTAGAGAGAACAAACGATTTGAAGAAAATCACCATGGGCTTGGCATCCCTAGTTTTGAAGGTTCTCATTATCCATCCCATAATTTTTCTAGCAGATGTGGTGGATACATTGTTGTAATCTTTGAAAGTGATATCCTCTGACATTATCACTCCCAGGTCCTTCGCATTAGTTTTTCGCTCTATTGTGTGGCTGGAATTTGTTTTTATACTCTGATACAGTTTTAATTTCCTCAAGCTTTCCATATCGGAGTAATTGAAATTTCTCATCATTGCACTTCATACTGTTTTCTGCGGCCCATTTAAACGTTTAGTTGATGTCCATGATGTTCCATGAGTCTGGGCCTGGGGCAGAGTGCATGGGCATGTATATATATATATATATATATATATATATATATATGTCGTGCCGAATATGTAAAACTGGTCAATTAGCAAGAACTCATTTAAAATTAAGTCCTTTCTAA